TAGATTGGACGTGTCCTCACTGCAGCAGCACAGGTGACCCAGGGCACAGCGGAGTTCAGGTTCTCTGTGAGTTGTAGGGGCCATAGGGCTGGCCTGGTGTGCTGTCCCTGTGCTGCTGGCTGTGGGTGGAACTGAGTCAGAACTCGTCCTTCTGAAGCAGGCCAGGAACAAAGATGTGAGTGCTGCACATCCTAGAAAGTCTGGGAGATAGCAGCAAATTCCACTTCAGCGTTGTGTGATTCAGAGAACAAGAAATAGTTCGGGTCTGAGGGCTTTGTAGTGACTTGTGACTCACAAGTCAAAGTGGACGTTTCCCCTGAACTAACTCTGATTGTGTTTGGGGAGGAGAAGGTGCCAAGATCTCTCTGAAAGAAGTCTGGAACAATCTTGAGTCACTCCAGCTGATTCATCTGCCCACACTGGCATCCGAGCCTCTCCGTATGCCCAACAGCTGCTGGGCTCCTGCTTAATGCTGGCAATAAAACTGGCCATGCAATTAAGCACTGACTTAAAATTATAGGTATGGCTGGCCTGTTAACTCAGTTCTGTGTAACTGTATGTGTCTGATGGACATGCATAATTGTGTGATCACTCATCAGCCTTAACTTTGGTGAAGTTTGGGGAAAGTTTGTGTACACAGTGAAGAAACTTTGAACATGAAATGATTTGGTTTCCTGCGTTGCTTTGCTGTGTGCCTGCAGTTACCAGTGCCAGGCTGGGGTAAGAATATCACTTATTTCTAAATAACTTCTAGAATGTCAGTGCTTTGGGTGACCATGGGTGGTGGTGGTGTGGTTACACAGTAATATCCCCATCTTGATGCTGGGTGATTGGATTTTGGGAATGGTCCAAACCACTGGACTGCCTGTGAGTTCAGTTTGGTATTCCAGTTAAAGTGGAGCTCGCTGATATCAGTAAAGGAAGCAACAGGTTAATTTGCAGGTATTTATCTAGCCTTTTTTCCCTCAGCTTTTTTAGAAGAAACATAAAAACCTCAACCCTCCTTATCTGTGTGGCTGCACTGCAAAGGGATCTGGAATTGTGACCACACTGGAGACGTATTTGTCATATTCATGTATTTCTTTTAATGTGTTTTTCCTTTCCAAAGAGCCTGCTAGGTGGCTCTGAGGGGGGATCTGTGTGTGCTGCAGGGACCCACCTGTTCCTTAAAGCCAGAAGTCTGCAAGCCCAGCTGTTACAGCTCTGCTGCTGCAGGAGGAGCCAGAATGAACTTCAAAGTTCCTTCCAACCCAAACCATTCCAGGGTTCTGTGAGTTGATTTAACAGGAATAGTTGTCAGAGAGTGGCACAGGACAGAACATACTAGAACTGCCAGAGTGCCTCATTAAGGCTCTGGTTTTCACACAATACTCCTGAACCAGTCCCAAACAAACCTCTCCAGTCTGTGGGCTTTGTTACCACTCCCTGGCTGGGGCTCAGCGCTGATAAAAATAAAATCGAATGTACACTGTGTGCACTCTGGGGGAGGATCCTGTGAGTGCCAACGGAAACATTGTCTGTTCCATGCTGAAGAAAGAAATACAGCATTTGCTACTAAGGGGTGAAAATAGAATTTTCCTAAATTACACAAAAAAAGAAGAAATTATAAACCAAATGGCATCACTGTTGGGCTTAACGTGATGTAGGACACACTTACTCAAAATGTCTTTGCACGCTAAATGCCCTCAGCAGTGTGGCTTCTAAGAGTGAGGGGGCTTTTAGAGAATCAGTGTTAATTTAGTGAAAGCACTTGGGCCAGTGTTTTGGGAAAAGCTTGACTGACTGCCCTTAGAAATTAAAGTATCTCTCCATTGTCACAGTATTACAGCAGGTGACAACAGTGGATTAGGGGATGGATGATTCTTTCAGTTTTCCTTGCTGGAAATAACTTGAAGGATTTAAACATTCTCTTGTTTTCGAGTGGTGCCACGGGAGGAGTTGCAAAGAGAACTCGGTGTATTCCATCAGTTGGCTCTTCAGAGGCTTCTCCCAAAGATGCTGATGTGTGACTGCCTTCCCTGGGGCAGCAGGACTGGAGCAGCAGTGACCTCTCCAGGGCAGGCTGCTGGTGAACACCAGTGACCTCTCCAGGGCAGGGCGCTGGTGCACGAATATCTGTTCCTGGTGAATGTCACAATTACCATTTCACTGCGTTGCCTGCAGTTAGGAGATCTCCAGGAGTGTGCTTATCTAGGAAGGATGTCAGATTAACTCGTCTTACCCATTCTGTTGTTATAAAATAACTTTTTGGCTTAAACATTTGGAAAACCCCGAAGTGTCACTCAGGGGTCACCTCTGGTAGGCAGGAGGGTCATTGTTTTGTTTGGCTTTGGGGCCCCAGTGCTGTTGTGAGGCACAGGGATGTAGAGCTGGCTGTGGTGGGTAATCCAGGGCTGGATACCAGGGTGGTTGGGCACTGAACAGGCTCCCCAGGGCAGTGGGCACAGCCCTCCAGATCTCTGTTCCTTATGCTATGAAATACTTGAGCACTCCATGCTGTAGGTCACATCAATCTGAAGCCAGTGGGTTTTTCTACCAGTGTAGTTCATCAGGAACTGGTTATTTCCCAGTCCTCTTCCTGCAAATAAATTCCATGGGCGCTCAGTTCCATTTGGACAGCTGAGAAGTGAGTAATAACACAGGGGTTCTCACATCAGAATAATGCTGAGAGGAAAATGGATGAGAGGTTCAGAGAAACCAGGAAAATGTTGTTTCAAACACAGTGGTCCAAATCCTGAAGTGCACTGAGCATGTCCTGAGCTCACTCTGACTTGAGGAGCATTGGGAGATTCAACAAGATGCCGAGCAGCCTTTGGATTTGGGGCTTGCTAAACAATGGTTACTTAGAAGTTTGGTTTTATAGAAATTACCCATTTGCACGTTATTTATTCTGCTGATTGGCTCCTCTGGATTGCTTTTGCTCTGGGCAAATAAGTGACAAATCTGGGCAGAGGCAAACTTGCCAAATTTAAACAGTCAGAGTCCCCACAGACCAAAGCTAATATTGGCTGATGCTGAATTGTGCTGCTGAGGGATGAATCCCCACCCGGGGCAGCCACAGGAGACTGGTTTGTGTTAGTGCCACCTTGGGCACTGGTGACAGGAACAGAGGGAGGATCAGAAAGTCACTAAGGAAACCCTCCTGGTTCCGGGTCCTGCTACGGAGAGAGAATAAACCCCCCTATGCCAACGGTCTGTCAGGGCTGGATTGCCAGGTGACCTGTGTCTGGGGGTGCTGTTCCTGCTCATGGCCCTGCACAGCCAACCCTTGCAGTGCCTGTGGGCCAGGCAGCCCCAAATCCAGCACCACCATAAAGGGGATATCTCCAGGCACTGGGAACAGAGGAGTGTTTCTTGGATTACAGAATCACTGAATCATTTAGGTTGGAAAAGACCTCTGAGATCAGACCTTTGATCACCACGTTGTCAACTAGAGCAGAGCACTGAGTGCCATGTCCAGTTGTTCCTTGAGCACTGGATTCCTTTGGAATATGTGTTGTTATGTGGAAGCAGCTGCTGTGCCGCAGCTTGTCACTGTCCACTGTCCCTTTCCACCCATCTCTCTGTCTCCACACGAGCTGTACTTTCTCTCAACCCTGCCTTAAACTGGGTGAACCTCAAGAGGTCATTTGTCCCTCCCTGCCACCACAGCAGCAGCAATGCTGGTGCCTTTAGAGAATGCTTTGCCTGCCACCTCTGACCAATGGTTGCTCCCCCTCGTGCATCTCGTGTGATGGAGCATCCCCAACTTTTCCTGACATCTTGCTCAGTTGTTTTGCTGTTCTTTTTTTGCAGCTGATTCCGAGCATTGTTTGCTGAGTGGAATTGGAGTTACTGGTTGTTTCTTCATCGGTGCTTTATCATGCTGCCGTTTCTGTACGCTCAGTGTAACTTTTTTTCTCGTAGCTGAAGACAGATTGTGCTGCAGGGCCTGGGCTGGGTTGGAATGAGGGCTTTGGGGAGGGGAGGCGGCGCCTGCGAGGCCATTGATCCCATCTTTATAACTTTGCCCTTTTAGCTGGGAACAGATGATTTGCGCAGGGGTTGGAGATGGCGCAGGCAGAATCCGAAGGACCAAACTTTACATAAACCATTTATACTAAACATTGGGGATGCTGGCAACATAAATCAACTACAGCATCTATTACAAATTTATCACTTTATCAGTATCATCGGTGATAGGAGTGGTCTGAACAGGTGGGGAAGTGAACCGTACCTCAGGAAGTTTAGCCTGCTCGGAAATTAATTATTCAGGACACACAGAGCCTGGCCCCTTCAATGTATAGTAATTCTTTCCAGCCAGCATCCAGGCCTCCAACTTCAGTGCAATAATAAATAGGAAAAGTCTCAGGTGAATCCAGTATTTCAGAGTAATTAATCATCTTCCCCTCATGGTCCCTCCGCCTCTCTCTTGGTTTTCTTTAACGAGGGAATTTCAGTAATAAATCTTTAATGATATATGTTAAGAATCCTTCATTAATTCTTGTCCACTTATTTCTCTCTTTTGGGTGCTTTTATGTTGTATGTTGGGAAGTTAAAAGGAATATACAAGAAAAAAACAAGTTAAATTTTACACAGTCCATGAAAGGATGTTTTTGGGTGTTGAGTGTCGTGTGTTCACTTGGTAATCAGAATCATTGGTTAGTGGCAGCTGGATTGTCGACAGGACTCTTGGATACAGTGCAGAGTTACAGCAGGATCACAAGGGAGAAGGGAGAGAAGACAGTGGTCTGTGTGCTCCTGAGTGGAGGGGCAGGGGTAGGAGTGCTCGGTCTGAGGGGGGTGTGTGCTGTGGGACGCGCAGAGGCCCGTGGGGCGCACGGCCGGACACGGCGCTGCCCACGCGGCACCCGGCGAGGGGCCGTGTGTGCCAACACCCCCGACGGGGCGAGCAGCCGTCAGGGCGATGGGATGTGACAGGCCTGGGCGTGACGGATCGGCTGTGACACACGCGCCCGCCCGCCGTGGGTGACGGGTGTCCTCGCGGTGCCTCCCCGCAGGACAGCACAACGACGCGCGCATGAACCTGGCCATCGCCCTGACGGCCGCGCGCTACGGCGCTGCCACCGCCAATTACGCCGAGGTGCGGCGCCTGCTCAAGACCACCGACCCGGCCAGCGGGAAGCTTCGCGTCTGCGGGGTGCGCTGCAGGGACGTCCTGACCGGTGAGTGGGACCCCCAGCCCGCCCCTGGGTGGGGCAGACCCCTCAGGAGAGGAACCGTGGGGTAACACGGCAGGGAGGAGCACGACTGTCTGTGAACGTCCACCAGCCCCAAAGGAGCCATCTTACCAGGCCGTGCCATTAGTGTCACTCAGCTTTAGCTCCTGTCACATTTCTCACTCAAACCCTGGTGTTTTGGCGGGGCAGACTGAGCTTTACATCCAAACCCTTCTGTCAGGCAAAGATGACATTGTCAAAGGCTCCGTGCTGTACAGTAATAATCCCATTTACTGAGTCTGTGGGGTGAGACTGAAATCTTTTTCCTTGAGAGGCAGATTTCAGCTGAGCAACTTCCACCTTGTCTGCCCTCACAGATAAGTTGGAATTCCACTCTAAAACGCTCTCTTTCAAATCTGGTGTTAGGTGAACACTTAGTTAATTTTTAGAGCCCACCCCAGCTGTTGTGTTCAGACACGCAGGCTACACTTTACAGTAGGGTGAGTTCATAGAGAGATTAATAACAGAGAGCGTCAGCGAGCAGGAAACAAATGGTGTCTGTGATTGATACTGTTTTCTTTCACAGGGAAGGAATTTGATGTCAGAGCCAAGTGTGTTATCAATGCTACGGGACCTTTCACAGACTCCGTGCGCAAAATGGATGATGAGGAAGTGCCCAACATCTGTCAGCCCAGCGCAGGAGTGCACATCGTGATGCCTGGTTATTACAGGTACCGGGGCTGGGAGCCCGCTCCATTTGTAACACCATTTGTAACAGTCTCTGCTGGGGAATAAATGAGCTCGCAGAGACGCGCTGGTGGGTTTTACAGCACTTCTGAACGCACAGTTTGATTTTGACTTTTATTTGTGTTTTTTAAAGAGGATTCTGGCACTGTGCCAATGAGAAGAACAATTTCATCTATTCAGGAAACACTGAAGTCTTTTAGTTCTTAGTTAAAGCTCCCCGAGGCAGGACTCCCGCTGGAGGAGAAGGCGTTTAGGCAGAGCATCACCAGACTTGTGAAAGCACCTATTTCAATAATGCCTTTGAGCTGAGTGTGCTGCCTGCCTGGTCTCCTCCTTAGGAAAACCTCCCAGCAAGGTTACATCTTCATACAGAATCTCTTGTCCTGTTAAATCATGGAACCACAGGGTGGTTTGGGTTGGAAGGGACCTTAGAGATCATCTCGTTCCACCCCCTGCCTTTAAATGTGAACCTCCCTGTGCAATGACTCTGCCACCTGCTCAGCGTAAATAGGACAGAAGAAATTATATAATGGGCAATATTATAAGTAATAATTAGTAACATTACTATCAGCCAGCAGAAGTAGTTCAGAGTAACACAGTTAAATTCTGGCACTGCTGTGGCCACAAGGTTCCCCCCACTCGTGGGGGTTTTGGTGGTCAGGATGTGCCCCTCCTTGTTCCAGGAGAGGTTCCTTGGCACTCTGCTCCCTGCAGTCTCCTGCTTCCCTCCCTATTTGCTGTGCAAAGCCAAATCCCCTTCTCCCGAGTCAGCCCTGTCGGTTGGAACTCAAATATTACCTTTGGTTCCTGAAGTCATTAGCATCCTAATGGAAATTCTGCTTTATGGACTTAGCCCAGTTCTGTTGATACAGAGCCCTTGCAGTAATGCCTTCCACGGCACCATCGTGCTCCTTGGAATGGGAATTCAGCCTTCCAGGGCACAACAGGGTGTTCTGCTGGAGCTGTCCTAACAGCACGTGACCACAGACTAAAATTGAGGCATTTTTGGCCTAGTGTAAAATCACCCCTGCATTCTGTTCTGGGGTTTTTTTGTATCTTTCCCCATGAAAAATGGGAAAATGACCTGATAGCTGCTTTAAAGTACTAAAAATGTGAAGAAATGGGCTGTAATCCCAGTTTCCTCATATGCCAGGAGGAGGACGGGTGCGATTGGCTTTATGGCCCCGCACAAAAACATGGAGAGCTTTAAAACTTGGACTCACTTTGTAAACTCGAAGTAGAAGATGGCCTGATATGCATTTATTTATTCTGTAATAACCCAATAATTTTAATTGGAAATGTGGAGAATTCTTGTTCTCCGTGTTCCCCGGTGTATGTCAGCATGTGGGCATTACTTTCCTTGGAAAATAGTATCTGCCCACACGCTGCCTCCACAGCACAGCTGATTAGAGAAAACTGCACTGAGTTTCCTGGGAGTGTGATAGCTGAAAGCAGGGAACTGTCTGCTGAAACAGAAAATACTCGTGGGATTTAATCTTAGTTGGATCAGGTCTTTTCCTGGTGCCAGGGAACACTGCTCAGCACAAGAAGGTTGGCATTTCACCGTGTCCACCACGTGCCCTGTGGTGAATGTTTCACAGAATTTTGGCCCAGAGTCACAAAAATGATTTTTATTTTTTTTTTTAAGATTTAGAGGTTCTCAGTTGCAGTTAAGATTTTGTAAAACTAATGTTAACCTAATGCATTCACTTCCCGTGGGTTTTCTGCTCATTGATGTTCTTCATTAATAGTCCCAGAATTCCTCCCCTCATTAATTAGGCTTCCAGCCTGGAATGTGTCTGTGAATACAAGGCTTTTTCCTCTCCCTTCTGACCAATTTCAGATGTTTTCAGTCTTTCTTGAATTTTCCTCTCTGCTCTGCATTCCAGATTCCAGGTAATCTTATCTGTTGCATCTCGGTTCTGCTCTGTGGAAAGTCACTTTTTGTTCTTTAAGTGCATTTGTGGTGCTTTGGTCAAATGCTTCTTCAGCTGGAGATCAACGTGGATCCAACACCTTCCATGTGTCTCCCAGACCACTTCCCTCTGCATTTCTGTGTGCCTTGCTTTAGTGCTTCATATCAGAGTTTGCAATCCTGAACTTGCCCATTTTAGAAGCCTTTGAAGAGGAATCTCAGCCTGACTAGCATGGCTCACACCTCCTTCTCCCATCCATTTTGGAATCACAGGAATTCCTGCCTTAGAAAACCCTGTCGTTTCACAGGTATTCCTGGTGTGTAGCAAGCAGCATGACTCCACAGGCTCCCCAAAAGCCAGTATTTGGGTGTTAAGATGCTGCTTTTTGATGCAAAACACCTTATTTTGCATTTGTTTGGGTGGCTCTTCAGTTATTTAAATAAGCTGGAACAAGCCCGGGCAATGGGCATGGAGGGAGAGCTTCCCAGGAAAGCTGGTATCAGTAATTCAGTAAATCATTGGCACATGGAAGGCTTGCATCCTTTCTCAGCACTTGCTGTGTAATCTTATAACAGTTTCAGTCCAGAGGTGCTGTGGGAAAATGTCGTTTGAAGTCTCTTCCTTATTTTTAACAGTTTTTATGAAATCACATAAAAAAACCCCACATACTTTTAAGAAAATGTCTATAAAGTTTCTGAATTCTGGTACTGTATATTAAATCTCTGATTTCCTCTGTCTCTAAATCAACAGCTTTTTCATTTTAAAAAGTAATCATTTGTCTGAGGTGATTTACCTTTCCCAAACTGTGTTGACTTCCCCTATTAGATTGTACCTCTCCCTCCGTAGGCCTAAGCTGTCTTTAAATATCAGCTAAAAATGGTTCTAATATACATGCTAGCTATGAAATTCTCAGCTTCTCTTCTAGCCTGGCCATATATTGCAAACTTCCCTTCAGTAATCAGTTTAGGCTTCCTCAAAATGGAATATTCATTGATTCAGCTTGAGCAGGTAGTTCTCACCCGAGCAGGTCTTTGCCTTCAGATACTGTGTTAGGAATTGTTTGAGCCCGTTGAATGATTACCCTCGAAAGTCCCTAACTGCCACCTAAATCTCCACCTCCTGTCCTCCTTCCACGTGCTCCCCATGTCCCCCTCCAGCTCCCAGGAGTGGGAGCACAGCCTGGAGACCCCTGGAGACTACAAGTGTTTTTATAGGGACTTGCAGCACCTGAAATGAAAGTCAGCATCTGCCCTTAATATAAAACTGAACAAAGAAAGGGGCAGTTTAATGTTTCATCTATAAAAGCTGTTTACTTTAAAGCGTTTATAAAAGCCTATTATTTTCTGAAATACAAGCAGAGCTTTTTAATAAGCCACGAGGAGGTGGCTGGGTTTGTACCTGTGAATTTTATTTTACATTATACCAGAACCCACTGATACATACATACATTAAAATTTCCTGTCTAAAGAACTACCGTTTTTCTTCCTTGTATGGAATGATTCCATTCTGCACTGGCAGAACTAATGAAAAATCTCTTGAGTAGCAGCATCATGTTGGTGCCTCTTTTGCCTTTTTTCCTCAAAGCACAGTTCCCTGTTCAGGGCCACAGAACTGGGAGCACTCGAATCCCTCAGGAGTCTGTGGGTGTTTCTTCCTGTTGGAGTGGCAGGTGGTGACAGACTCAGGCTTGGTGTCACTGGAAGGACTCCTTAAATGTCCTCATTTCTCCTCTTTTCTCTCCTTTTCCTCTCAGTTGCCACCCCCACCCCCCCATTCCACATGCATTGGGGAGGCAGGTTGGAGGGTCACTGGGATTTTGTATGTCTTCAATTTTGCCCTTTCTTCAGGGTGCAGATAGTTGGCAGCTCAGGTTAATAAGATCTGATCTTTATTATTTCTTGTTCTGTACTTAGGCACATCAAAACAGAACCAGGGTTCTGTTCTTTTTTCCATTTGACTAGATTATGGATTAGGGAGCAATTGCTGGCTGGGAGGGTGGGCAGGCCCTGGCACAGGTTGGGCAGAGAAGCTGTGGCTGCCCCTGGATCCCTGGAAGTGTCCAAGGCCAGGTTGGAGCAAGCTGGGCTAGTGGAAGGTGTCCCTGCCCATGGCAGGAGATGGAATGAGATGGGCTTTGAGGTCCCTCCCAACCCAAATCAGTCTGTGAACACTCGTCCTGTTTCAGCCTTCCCTCTCTCTTGTAGTATAATAGAGAGGATTGTCTATTTTTGGGATTAAAAGCAGTTGTTCATTCCATGAGGAGTTTCAAGTCATTGCAGGTTTTAAATTTCCCACTGTTTGTATTTGAAATTCCAATGCACAAGGTTTTCCACAGTGAACAGGAATGGGAGATGCCGAAGGCCTGATTGCTGCACTTTAAGGTTGTGCTCTGCTCACTCATTAGGAAATCAAACTCTAATTCCTGAGCACCACGCAAGGGCCTTGTTTCCCCCAAACTCCTGGGACTGCCCTTTAAAGGCAGGTCCAGGCCAGAGGTGAATTCTGTCATTTATTCATTAAATCATTTGGCCTGAGAACGCAGGTTCAGTTCCAGTATCTCCCTGGAGTGCCAGGTGTGCAGGAAATGACCCCTGGGTGCTCCTGCCCTGTTCTGAACCGTGTCCCTCCTTTCCTTCAGCCCTGACAACATGGGGTTGCTGGATCCAGCCACCAGCGACGGCAGGGTGATTTTCTTCCTGCCCTGGGAGAAGATGACGATCGCAGGGACCACGGACAGCCCCACCGATGTCACCTCCCACCCCATCCCCACGGAGGAGGACATCAACTTCATCCTGAGCGAAGTGCGCAACTACCTGGGCGCCGACGTGGAAGGTAAACCTGGGAGGGCTCTTCCCCTGGGAAGGTGCTCAGGAGGCTGGGGAAGGGCAGCAAATAACTCACCTGGAACAAAAAGTTGTTTGGAGTGCCCTTGTTTCTATTCTCATTTTTCTAGGCGTTTTATTCTTAGAATTGACTTTGCTTGGTCGGTAAATATCTTACAGTGGCAGTTTTGGTGGGAAAGTAAAATGGGCCAGAAGGAGAATGTATAAAAATTCCTTGGTGACAGTTGTTCCCTTCAGTAGCTGAGCTGAGGACACCTTTGCTGTAAGGTGCTGGCCTGCTGTGGCTCAGGGCTGGTTTGAAGGACAGGGGCTTCTTTCCTTAGAATCACAGAATCATGGAATAGTTAAGGTTGGCAAAGATCATCAAGTCCAGCCATCAACCCAGCATCATCACCATGTTCACCACTAAACCAAGTCCTCAAGTGCCCCATCACACATTTTTTGACCACTGCCATGGGTGGTGACTCCACCACTGCCCTGGGCAGTCTTTCCTTCAGAGTGAGACTTGGTTTATTTAAATTACTCTCTGAAAGCATTTGTACTGCTGTACTTCTGCTGCAGTAGCTACATTAAAATGGAAAGCACTCAGTCAGGAACATTGGAACATCCCTAGATTTGGGAAAACTTGCTGTCTGGAGATGGGAAATGCTGGATTCCTTGTTTCCTGAAGTGGAGAATTGATGTCTCCATGTAGAATGAAGTTATGAAAGAGTCTCCAGGGAAGGTTCTGTTTGGTGTCTGGAGCAGCAGTTGGTGTTAGAAGTTTGGGAGGCCAGGCAGGGAGTTAGGAATGTGAATAAGACAGAGATTAGATTAGAGATTAGGAAGGAATTGCTGGCTGGGAGGGTGGGCAGGCCCTGGCACAGGTTGGGCAGAGAAGCTGTGGCTGCCCCTGGATCCCTGGAAGTGTCCCAGGCCAGGTTAGAGGGGCTTGGAGCAACCTGGGCTGGTGGGAGGAGTCCCTGCTCATGGCAGGGACATGGAATGGGATGAGCTTTGAGGTCCCTCCCAAGCCAAGCCAAGGCACTCCATGGTTTCACAGGTATTTCCCAGCAGTGCCTCCCGCAGTGTTCAGTCCCTCTGGCTCCAGCCCACCTGGGCACTCGCTGTGTCTCACCCCTGCAATTACCGTGTTTATAGATGGCTGGTACTGAAATAACAACTGCTCTGCCCATATCAACCCTCCACAGCCCTGCCTGTGCTGCCAGAGCCAGTGCCAGGGTTATCAACTTCCACAGGCTTGGACACCTTCCAGCTGCTTAATTACAGCGTCACGCGTGCTGCTTCCTCGAGTTCCATTAGTTTATAAACGTAATACGGGATCCTAGTCCTGTGATTAACACTTCATTTTGGCAGGTTAAACACGCTGGCAGAGCACCATTGATTTTGGAAATCTATTCCGTGTTCTTTGGGGGATGTTTTTTACACCCTTTTAGTGATTTTTCAATTATCTCTTATTTGAAAGTTGCAATAAAAACATGTTCCAAAGGCTTGGGTGTGAAGCAAATCAGTAACTGCACTTAGGGTGAAGGCTGTGGGTAAAGATGACTTGTCAAGAGGAGAACTTGGAAAAATAACCTACAAGCTAGAGAAAGAAAAGGCTTGGGAGTCCTAAAAGGAAATGTTACACTCACAGAACAAACTTTATTTTGACTTTTAAAGTGTAATGTAAGGACTATCCTGTCAGCACAGGCAGACAGGGAGAGGAGACAAACAGACCTGTCTGCCTGACTTTGCTTTGGGCTGGCAGTTATTGCCAATCCTGACTGGAGCAGTGCTGAGTTGAATTTAGCCTGGAGAAAAGGATGCTCGGGGTGACAAGGTGGGGATCGGTCACAGGTTGGACTCCATGGTCTGGCAGGTCTTTTCCAGCCTCAGTGACTCTGTAATTCTGAATTGTCCAATAAATCAGCTTATTCCCTGGCTTTGGAGGGTCTCCCCCAGCTTTGCAGGTTGCTGGGCACAGGGGGGTGCAGCCCTTGGCAGTGCCCCCGAGCCTGAGAGGGGTGGGAGCGGAGTCCCCCTCAGCTCTGGGCTGACTGTGCCTGATCCCTGGGCAGTGAGGAGAGGAGACGTGCTGGCAGCGTGGAGCGGGATCCGGCCCCTGGTCACAGACCCCAACTCCAAGGACACGCAGTCCATCTCGCGCAACCACGTGGTGACCATCAGCGACAGCGGCCTCGTCACCATCGCAGGTACTGCCAGGGCTCCTGGGGCTGTGCTGGGCTCCTGGGGCTGTGCTGGGCTCTCTGGGGCTGTGCTGGGCTCCTGGGGCTGTGCTGGGCTCTCTGGGGCTGTGCTGGGCTCCCCAGGGGCTCTGCTGGACTCCCCAGGGGCTGTGCTGGGCTCCCCAGGAGCTCCCTTCACAATCCCTCGCTCCCTGCAACCAGACACTCATCTGGCAGCAGCAGCACGACTGGCTTGCTGTGGCAGGCCTGACAAGAAATCCTGTGATATATAATTTTATATATATATCCAATATGCAGCAACTTCATGTTCTTCTTGCTCTCCCCAAATAAAGAGGTGGCTGTGTGTTCCCACAGGGGGGAAGTGGACAACCTACCGTGCCATGGCGCGGGACACCATCGACGCAGCCATTCAGGAGCACAACCTGAAGGCAGGATCCAGTAAAACCATGGGGCTGCGGCTGGAGGGGGCTCACGACTGGAGCCCCACACTCTACATCAGGCTGGTCCAAGACTACGGACTTGAAAGCGAGGTGAGTCGTGGCTCTGGTGATGCTCTGATGCTTTGGTGTTGCAGGGGTTTGGTTCTTCCCTAAATCAAACACCAGCATAACTTGGGCAGAGGTCTGGTGAGCCTGATCAGAGCTTATTGTCTGGCTAGGGCAAAGATGATTGGAACAGAAATGAATTCTGGTACTTGTTCTTCACCTTCCCTTTTTATTTCCTTCCACTCTTGACTGTTTCCTGCTCTAAAATGTTGGAGTTTGTCTCCCTTGGAGCCCCCAGAGCTGTACACCTGCCGTGATCTCAGTGTGGCAGAAGAGCTGGGGTGTCATCAGTCCCAGTGGTACAGACACGGGGGGCAGTGCTGGTCCAACCCATCCACAACACTTTCCTCCCACACAGTCACAGTCAAACACCCTCTGCAGCCTGTTTGTTATTGGTGATGAGGGAATGGACAAGGAACACTGCATGTTTCATGCTTTCAGAGTATACTGGCTTTTTTTTTCCTCTCCACAGGTGGCTCAGCACTTGGCTTCCACCTACGGGGACAAGGCTTTTGAGGTGGCCAAAATAGCCCAGGTCACAGGGAAGAGGTGGCCAATTGTTGGAAAACGTCTGGTGTCTGAATTCCCTTACATTGAAGCTGAGGTATGTGGGAAAACTACGTCATCTTCTTTGAGCCTGTTCTTGGCATGAGCAGGTTCTAGAGCACGTCGTGGCTCTGTGAAACATCCCCTTCCTTTGGGAAGGTCTCGATGTTTTTCTGGTCCTGTTTTTCCCCTTCCCTGGAGCACGCTTTATTTTTATGTATTTGTATGCACACATATTAATAGATATCATTAACTGTTTATATAGTGTCTTTATTTCATATATAAAAACCCTTATCCCAAGTGGGTTTTATAAAACGTCCCGAGGAGAAGGGAACATTCCAAGCCCTTCCTTCGGCTGGGTGGGTGCTGCTGCTGCATGGCCGGCCCAGCAGCGTGCTCTGGGATGCAATTGCTGCCGTTCCTGTATCCTGTATCCCTCTCACGTGCTGCCCTGGGCTGGTGCTGCAGGTGGTGTATGGAGTGAAGGAGTATGCCCGCACCGCCGTGGACATCATCTCCCGCCGCACCCGCCTGGCCTTCCTCAACGTGCAGGCGGCGGAGGAGGCCCTGCCCAGGATCGTGGACATCATGGGCAAAGAACTCAACTGGAGCGAGCAGAAGAAGAAGGTACAAAGGGCCTTTTTTCAGCTGAAGCCGCTTTGTTTTGCTTAAGGAGTTTCCATGTTAACCGTCCAAGTCAGCTGAATAGAAAACTACAAGCGATGTTTTATTCCTGAGGGAATGAGTCACTCGGTGCATTTCGTTATAAGGACTTTATCAAATAGCTGTGAAATGAGCTGGGATTGGCCAGGGGGTGGGGGGCAGAGGGAAGATCTGTATCTTGTTGTTCCCCAGCTTTAAAAATGAAAGCAGACTTGGCATTGCTGTCCTATTCCTATCAGTTATTTTGTTTACTGACACTTTTTGACTGACCTGCCTCAGCAAAGGAGGATCTTGTAATTTATGTCACCCTTTTTTGTCTGCTGTGTCTTTTGAGGAGTGATAATACTGAGTTTGTACCGGTCTGTGGCCTAAATGAATGTTTAAGGTTGTTGTTGGCTTCCTTTGCCCTCGGTGGGTCTGTGCCCAGAGTCACTGTGGGACTTGCTCATCCCTGCCTGCGGTGTTGAGGACAGACAGCAAGCAGAGCCTGTGAATGCTCAGCTGGCACTTCACTCCAGAGTTTCCCTTGGAGTGTTCATGAGACCTTTTAGCCAGTCAGAAGTTGGATTAACATTCTGGGAAGGGCTCATTTGAGCCAGGGGACCTGCTGTGATCCTGGAGCCTGCCTGCAGGAATGCCTAAGGGAAGGGATCCCATCCTGTCCCGGGTGTGAGGGTGCTGCTTGGTGTGTGTATGTCACAGCCAGAGGAGTTTGGCTGTGTTAGGAGTGCCTCACCCTTACCCCATGAGATTTGCTCACAGAATCATTTTCCAGGTGGAACAAAGCTACACCACTTCTTCCCTAAAAATAGCTTAGCAAATGGGAAGCTGTCAAGGCAGGGAATCTGGAATGAGCACGTGGTTAGGGCTGCATGGACAGCCCCAGTGGCAGCACCTGTGGTGGGGAGTTGGGCACCCTTCCCACCCTCAGCTGCAGGAAGGAAAATGGGCAAGTCCTGCACTCACCTGTAGGAATTCCAAAGCCTTCCATGGCTCCTGGGAGCTCAGGAATGCCACTGAGGCATCTCTGTGTCGCCTGGGTGTCCACTGGGCTTTGTTCTGGAAAAGAACCCTTTGCTGCAGAGAGAACTCATATTCTCTGGTGCTTTATGTATGTCAGGGGTTTAGCACTCATTAAAACCTGGCCAGGGAAGACCTTGCACTGAACTTTCAGGTAATAAAGTCATTTTATTGCCATCAGGAAAACTAGTTTAAACCATAAAGAACCTGCCTGGTGTTGAGTCTCCTGACTTTCTTGCTGGTTTTAGACAGTTGGGTGAAACATCACACAGAGATATCAGCTAGAAGTGAAATGGTTTGTTGTAGGCCTGATCTAAAAGGGCCATATTTCCATGTAATAGGCACGTTCACCACATGTGACTGAAGGTGTGGGATGGTCCTGAAAGCATTTACATAGAAATTAGAAGTCTTTACTAGAGTTGATACTTCTTTCCAAGACTAAAAAGTGCCCAAGTTTAACTTTAAAAATACTTTTCAGCTGCCATCTGCCTAATTTTGGGAGCTTAGATATCTCCTGGTTAAATGGAAGAATCTAATAATAAAATATAATATATAAATAAGAAATACTACATGAAAAATAAGAACTTGCTATTCCTCAGATACACAGGTTTTCTCTTTTTGTTGTAGGAAGAGCTTGAAACTGCGAGAAAATTTCTCTATTATGAAATGGGCTACAAAGTAAAAACAGATCAATTGACAGACAGCTCTGAAATCAGCCTAGTGCCTTCAGATATTGAGAGGTGAGTGAAGCAGCAGAGTTGATGAGCCCCTGTCCCGCTCCCCCTGCAGTTCCCCGTGGATAACCCTTCTCCCACAGGTACAAGAAGCGGTTCCACATGTTTGACAAGGACAAGAAGGGCTTTATCACCATCCTGGACGTGCAGCGTGTCCTGCAGGTGAGGCTTCCTGGGTTTCCTTTGGGGGCAGCCCCCCTGTCAGTGGGGTGGAGCCGGTGCTGAGCAGAGCTGTGCTTGTTTGTGCAGAGCATCAGCGTGCAGATCGCCGAGAACACGCTCCACGAGATCCTCAACGAGGTGGATCTCAACAAGAACGGGCAGGTGGAGCTCAACGAGTTCCTGCAGGTGGGTCGCTCCTCTTCTTCCAGGAGAAGCTGTTTCTTTAATGGGCAAAGCCACAGGTAGGGAATTTTTTCCCCTTGTCTTCGGGCTGAGTTGGAGGCCGGGTGAGTGTTACCTGTAGTGTGACAAGGGACACACAGAGCCATCCTTGAGCAGCTCGGGCAAGGATATTTTTCCACTGAGACCCAGAGAACAGGTCCAGTTTACAGATTATACCCCAGTACAGTCCTGAGTTTGGCATTTTTAGTACAGAAAGGCTGTTTAAATAACTGTCTAATAAAAAATAATACAGTTGTCCATTGGAAGGCACATGGCACAGCTGTGCACACTGATGTTATCTGGGGCTGTTAAGGGATTAGTAGTTTCTAAACTACTGGTAATTATAAAGATGAATAAACTGAATAATAAGAAACTAAATATTAATAATATAGAATAAATAATAAATAGATATAATAATAAACTATAAATAAAACATGAAATTATAAACTAAATAACTGAATATTATATTATAAATATATTATAAGGGCCGTCTGAGCCCAATAACCCATTTTAACTCCTGGATTGGCTGAATCATCCCAGTTTCTATGAAAGAAATGACAGGCATCTGCCTTTTGGGGGGCTTTCAAATAAAACCAGGGGTGCTCCCTTTGCATCTGCAGTTTGCCAGCTGGGTTGGTTTTGAGGAGGGTTTTTTGGGGTGGTATTTCAGAGCCTGCCATGTCTCCCCTGCCCGGTGGCAATGATGAATGCGGAACAGGAGAGAAATTAATGCTGGGGATTTTGGTCAATGTCAGCCCTTTCTTCACTGTGTCAAGTTAAACAAACAAGATCAAGGCAAAGGAAATGGTAATTGTCTCTCTGGAGATGAGCTGGGGATAAGAGCAGCATTGTTGAATCTAAATGCAGAAAATTTTCACAGGTTGTGTCCAGCATTAGCAAAAAGGAGTATTTATTTGCCTAAAACGCAGCAATTGAGCTGGGGAGCTGCAGTGAATTTGGGAGAAGGGGAAAATCCAGACCAAACAAACCAGGAGGGAAAGAGAACCAGTGGCTTCGGGAGTTTGTGGTGACATATTCGAATGGAGGAGAAAATCCTAGCTGGTTCTGGCGGTTGGAAAGGGTCACCCTCATGCCTCCCTTGGCATGTGGAGACCTTCAGCTGGGGGAGCCCAGCCCTTACTGCAAGGGCTGTGTTAGCCAGAGTTTGGGCAGTTTGGGGAGCGTTGTGCTTAAGAAGCTGCAACAACCAGTAATTGTGTGATCTGTGGGTTTTGGGGGCCTTGTGGGGTTTTTGCTTTGCTGGGCTGGGGGACCTGTGTCACTCTGGCTCCTGTGTCACTCTGGCTCCTGTGTCACTCTGGCTCCTGCACATCTGCCCAGTGCTGAGTGGGAAGGGTGGCACTGAAGTGAACAGGGGGTTGCCATGGAAGGAGCAAACTACATTAAATGTTTGTTTAATTTTTTAATGGATCTGTTAAGTCAGTGCCCAATACTTGGGTGTTTGCTTTCTGAAAACTTCCAAGTAATTGCGTTTCACCGCAGAGCGACTGTGCAAGCCCTGGGCAAATATTTGTGGAGGTTTATGTTAGAATATAGAACAGGTTGTACCTGGGGGCTGCCTGGCTCTCCAGGTGGGAGCACAGTGCTGAGGGAACCCAAATAATGGCCTGGGGAGAACCAGCCTGGCAGCTCCCCGTGCCCACAGGTGTCCATGGGGTGATGCTCAACAGAGGGTGGGACCTCAGTGTTGGGATGTAAAGGCAACCCCTCCTCACAGGTGGGATTTTCTCCCCAATATCCCATCTAACCCTGCCCTCTGACAGTGAGAAGCCATTCCCTCTTGTCCTGGCGCTCCAGGACTTGTCCAAAGTCCCTTTCCAACTCGGCCTTGGCAGGGCTGACACCACATTTGCACAGGTCCAACTGCAGATGTAATGAATAGATTTTCCTATGGAAGGGAAGGGGTCTGAAGGATTCCTATACTCGATGGGAGGAAGAAATTGCATTTTGCAAGTGCCAATTTCTTCCCTGGCGCTCTGTGCTGAGCTGACTGCAGGTAATTTCAGATCTAATGCTCACTTTATCCATGGGATAAAAAAGAATTAACTAAAATCTTAGCACTAGTGTGTGTTCATTGAGAGAGAGCCGAGCTCAGCTCCCAGGACTTAAAGGCAAATTAGTTTTAAAAGTCTATAAAGGAGTTTGGATTTGAAAGAATTGTGGAAGTCAAGTATAGTGTCTCTACAGAGAAGAGCTTGTGAGTGAAAAGGGGCTTGGTCTGGGGTCAGTGGTGGATCAGGAATCATGGAATCCCAGGATGGTTTGGTTTGGGAGGGACCTTCCACCAGCCCAGGCTGCTCCAAGCCCCGTCCATCCTGGTCTTGGACACTTCCAGGGATCCAGGGGCAGCCACAGCTTCTCTGGGCACCCTGAGCCTCCCCACCCTCACAGGCAGGAATTTCTTCCTAAATGGAAACAAATCCAAACGGTGCTCTTGTTTGAGCTGCCTCTCTCAGATACCCCAAACAGCCCTGTGGGAGGGGTGGTTATCCCACATCCTGAAATTCATGGCAAAAGAACCCAGTGATGGTGGTTGTGTGCACTGGTACTTCCAAGCGGATCATATTTGGGACTTCCACTCTTCCTGCCACCTGTACCTGGCCAAAGCCTTCTCTGATGTTTCTGGAAAGTGTAAAGGAGCCTTGAGGTGAGGTTTGAAACCGCAGTGTTGGTCTGTGCCTGCAGGGGTCAGATCTGTAGGTTCATTGGGGCGTGCTAAGGGCTCTTGGCTCTGTGTGGTGCCCTGAGCAGGGGCTAACGGGCTGCTGTCGCTGTGTCCCCAGCTGATGAGTGCCATCCAGAAGGGCCACGTGTCGGGCAGCAGGCTGGCTGTGCTGATGAAGAGCGCCGAGGAGAACCTGCGGCGCCGCGCCGCCATCCCGGTGGACCGGAGCGGGGGCGGCGTCTGAACCCACTCCCACCCCACCCCACGGCTGCCTGGAGCTGCTGAGAACATTCCAGAGCTTCTGCCCTCCCCACTGGCCCAGGTGCCCAGAGCTCTTCCACAATGCGTTGGTGCGTTTGTCCGTGTCATTAACGATTTTCCTGCTGCTCTGGTTCGTGGCCTTCGGGTCGGGGCTTCTGCAGTCCCTGGGGTTTCTTAGCAAGGGTTCAGGAACACAGGCTGGGAGGGTTTGGGGGCACACACAAGCACGTGCTGCCTTGGTCATTAACTTTTCACTTTAATCTTTAAAGCAGAGGATGCTCAGAGTGAATCCTGCCATTAAACGCGTTGAGTTCTCCAAATACAAACCCGGTATCTCAAAGCTGCTGCTGTGCCTTCAGCAGTGTCTTCTGTTCTGGATGGAGATATGATCCCAAAAGGAACAAATCCAACACTTCCTGGAGTGGTGGTGGTGGTGGGGAGCTGTCCTGAGCCTTCCAGGAGGCTGGGTTTGCTCTCTTATTCCAGTGGTGCCAATACTTGGCCACACAAAAATATCAGCTGGAAAACATCTTGATGAATCACCCCGAGGCAATAATTTGGCTAAAGGCTGAGAACAGCTTCCCTTTCTCCCATATTAACACAAATAACTGCCTTTAATAAATGGGCATCGTCTGGCAGGTGGTGCTTTGTGCTGTAAAATAAAGGTAAAAGGTGCTTTATGCTAAAAAGTGCTTTGAGTTTGGGACAAACCCTGATGGCATGTAGGATAGGGCAGGTTTTGGTAGCACAATAGTCTTAATTTAAAAATGCTCAAACACAGAGTGAAAAAAACAAAGTTTGTCTTGCATTCCACTAACTTTTCTAGAAAAAAGGGCTATTTTTCAGCAGATTAATGGAAAAACCCAAACAAGGAGCCCTCACTGGAGCTGTTTCCAGCACTGCTGTACCTGTCTATTGCCTTCCTGCTGCTGGATTTGGTTGAGATCAGGTGGGAGATTTCTGCCTGATGTAGAACAAGGCAGTGAAAACCTGGTTTATTGCTGGATTTGGCATCTGTTTTATTCCTTGAGTAGAAATAGCAATTTCCTCCTCAAATCAAGCTTCACTTCCCAGGTGTCAGAATTTCCGATCAGGAAAATCTGATGTATTTGACTGGTGTCACCACATTCACTGATGGAAAATAGCAGGACAGGAGTGAACAACCAAGATTCCTTGGATATTTTTATAGGGAACATGATCCCAGACACAAAGGGAGGTGCTGAGGAGTGTGGGATGTAGCACAGTGGGTACAAATGTTTTGTTTTGCTGGAGAAGCATAATCCTTTAAGAAATATTAAAATTCAGGTGCTGAAAAATAGTAGATACAAAAAAAGCTGGGGCAAGGCTCACCTAAAATGAATTTTTAAAATGGTTCAGATGGCTTTTGCAGGTTAAATTCATTTTTTTGATGCAGATGTTGTTCAGGTTGTGGCTTTGTGCTTCGAGCCCTGTGCTGTGAGCAGAGACTGAGGGAGGAGTTGGCACACCTGACACCACAAGGTTGTTTTAATGAACAAAGGGGTTTGTTCCTGTGGTCCTGTAAACTTTTCCTATTGAACCGTGTTCTAGAATATTCAGGTGAAGGGGAATGTTTGTCTCAGCTCTGTATTTCCAAACCCACAGTAACAGATTTCACATATCCTGCAGAACTGAGGGAAGTGAATGTAGAACACACAGGTAATTTTGGCTCAGTGAACAAGGGAAGGGGTTTGGGATTCTACAGTTACCAATAATTAAAGGGAAAAAAAAAATAGTAAAAGTCATGAGACCTTTTCCAGGCCACGTTAAAAAAAATATTTCCAATATTGAACAGCTTTTATATAGTTTAAAAAGGAATTCTCTTCCACTCCTGTCTGACTGGCTTTGTTAAATTAATAACCCTGGTTTACCTGGAAAGCAGGGTTTTCTGTGTTGTACCCAAAGTATGCTCCTTGTCTCTCTTGTTTTGCTAATCTTGCACCTGGAATGTGACTTTTGGATACTCTTTGTTTTGCTAATCTTGCATCTGGAATGTCACTTTGGGATTCTCCTGGCTGTGTGTCCTTGGACATGGATTTGCTTTGCGTCTCAGGCACTTTATGTCACCCTCCTGCTCCCCTGTACAGCCCTGGAATGAGGGGGACAACTGCATGTGTTCCTTCAGCAGCTGAATCTGTACATGAAGAAATCTGAAGTATTTATTTATGCCCTCACTGTGTCTGCAGGAATGTTGGCTTTGTTGTTTAAGGTTTTTTTAATGTGAATGAACCGTGGGAAGAGTTGTACAATGTCACTGCCTTGCTGTGCTGATCTGGGGTGGAAAAGCAGGAATGGGATTTTTTTTTTTCCTCCTTTTTTTTTTTTTTTGGGGGGGGGGGGGTGGGTGTGAGATGAGGCTTGGATTTCTGGATTTGCTGGGGTTATTTTGTGTTTTAAATAAACTGCACACCTGGGGGGGATCCGTGCGGTGTGTGTCGATGTGTGTAAATACATGCACAGACACTCACTGCAGGTTTACACGTGGCACTTACGTCTGTTGTCAGGTTCCTGTTGCAGCCTGGGCTGTTCAAATGCTGTGTTTGAGGCTGGGTTGTCATTTTTATAACTGTCTTGGTGTTTTCCTGCCATTATTTATTACCTTTGATATCTGGAATGAGCCGCATGCGTTTATCGAGCAATAAGAGGATGTATTTAATGTGCCTTGTTTTTAACTGAGTAAGGACTGAGAGCATGAATCAATAAAACTGGTTTAAAACGCCCCTTTCACTGGCGGTTCGTCATGGCAGGTGAAAAAAATAACTTCGCCTTGAAAAAGTTTCTTTGGGAAGGAAGGACGTGGGGATGGATGTGTCCTGGGAAACAGAACCGGTTTTTCCGTGCTTTCCCACCCTGGCTCGCAATTGAGCACTCGGTAGTTCCGAAGTGAAAATGAGAAGTTAATGCAGCACTTGGCATTCCTGGGAGGTGACAGGGTGAGGAATCCTGCACTGCCCTCTCAGGCTGGAATTACAGCAGCCACCTGGATTTGGGTAGGGGTGGGAGGAGGCTGGAAATGCCAACCGCGAGCAGTCCCTGCACACTGATGAGTTTGATCCTGACTAAAATCAATAGAAGTGAACAGGAGCGATTTCCTAATCCATTTGGATCATGTTACATGTCAGGTTTCCCGGGGTTGCCGTGTGTTGATGAATGTTCCGACAGAACAAATCCATTTTCCCTGTCAGTAAATCAGCAGCACCGTTATCAGGGCGAGCACAATCTTCATAATCTCCAGATTATTTCGTAGGGTTTAATTTACACTTGCAGCGGTGATGTTCCACAAGTGCTGCGGAGCTGTGCTGATGCAGGGGTTGTGTACGTGCAGCTGGAGCAGCTCCCTCCGTGTGGGGATGAACCGGACGGAGTGGAACGACAGAGGTTATGGATTTCCTCCAGCCCGTGGTGTGTAAGTCATATGTCACAAAATGTTTGCTGTGGCCAGCTTTGTCCCAAATATTTGGCAGCACTAGAATTGCCTTGGGTCACGCTCCTCACTTCGCTGCTGGAAGGAAGAGGAGTTTTTTGGTTCCTTCCTCCGGCGTCTCCACGGCACGGTCAGAAATTCAGATTTACTGCACCTTGTGCGGCTGGTGCTCCACAGGCTGGTTAAAATATGATGGGGAATATCATAGCAGCATTAATATTTCAGCGTCGGTGCCCGAGCTGGGTGTTTCCTGTGTCAGGTGGGGACTGATTGCATCCGATGGAGAGAAAACCATCCATGGGGACGGGGCTGTGCTGCTCAGACGCGCTCGGGGCCCCTCGAGGGAGAAGAGGGGGCTCAGATTCGTGGCTGTTGTGCCTCAGGGGGTGAGCCCCGGTGTCCCTGTCCCAGCAGGCCCCAGTTTTGCTGCCCGTGCCCCGGGAGCTGGCGGTGTGGCAGGAGGGCCGGGATCCATCGGGTGGGTGCCCTGGGCTCCGGGGCAGCTGCCCTTGGCTCGGTGTGCATTGTGATCAGCACAGCCCCGTGCGAGCGCTGCCGCGTGCGTGAGCTCATCCCGGCCGATGGATGTGAGCAGGGCACTGCTGCCTGGAAAATCCGGCCGAGTTTCCGCTGGGGATTTCACCGAATTGCTCCCCGGCCCCGGGGCTTTGTCTGGCCTGAGCAGTGCCAGCGCGGCCGGCTCCTCCCGGCCGGGGCTGGGCCCGAGCTCCCTCCTTCCCCGGCTGGCTGAGATGCTCTCCCTGTGCCGGGGGGATGCTCCGAGCGGGGCTCTGCAGCTCCGCAGGGGCCCAGGGCAGAGCTGGGAGCACATCACCCTCTCCCCCAGTGCCTTTCTTTGCCTAAACGAGGAGGCAAACTTGGCTCTGCCTCCCCAAGCCCCCTGCTCTGTTTGTCCAACTGCTGCAGCTGGAATTCAATTGATCCGGAAAAGCGAGTGCTGAGGCGGTGTCCCTGATGTGGGGTCGCTGTCCCCCCCCACCAGAACAAACCCAGGGCTCTGCAGCCCTGCATTTGCTCTCCCAAATTGTTGCTCCGTTTATTTTGCACAGATTCATTTATTATTTTTGCCTCTCTCCAATTAACTGATTTGCAATTCATTCCTATGCAAGCGGAGCTGTTTCTGTCCAAGTCGAGGAGCTGTAAATCTTGGATCTATTGAGCTGACAGGGGAATATATTTCATTTTTCCCCATGAATCATTTGCCATCCTTATTGCAGAAAAATGGCAAAATTATGGTGTACTGTGTTTTCATAAATTACTGCTTTTCTCTCCCCCCATACTCCTCCCTCATTTATAATTTCCTGGGAGGAAGGGGAGTGTGGGAACCTGGAGTAGCCAGGTGGAGAGGGCTTGTTTCTCCCCAAATTGTCCAAAAATCTGCCTCATCTCTCTTAAATTGTGTATAGAGCAACTAATGCTGCTTTTATATGAATTAAAAAATTGATGACTGCTACTGAAATTATTTTGGTTTGGTGTTAAGAGGTTCTCCAGTCAAATGCTGAAGGAAGGAGGGAGGGCTCTGTAAGCAGGGATACTTCACTGGGATTTTTTTCCCCCTTTCTTTACATTTCTGCTCTCTGGCATCAAAATTGTGTGAACTGAGGAAAGGTCAGGATTTTTCTTGTTTAAGAAATTTTTTACATTCTTACCTAAAACCCTATATCTTGCAGGCCAATCTTTAAAATCTTGCCTATTATGTTTATTTTCAAATGCTAGAAAAAAATATGCATTTTTCCACTTGATGTTGAGCTGGGTTACCAGTTCTGATTAGTGACTGAAGTAGCTCATTGCATCAGCAAAGGAGCTGGTTTATCCCCCAGCTTAAAGTCAAGTTATTCCTGGTTTAAAAAAAAAAAAAATACAAAAATGTTCATCACAGTAAGCTGTTAAATTGTTTT